TGCTAACGGCCTGCCGTGTTCGGCTGTTTCGAGCTGCTGGAGAAGACACCTTAAGGAGAGATTGCCCACCCCTCCCGAGATACCTGCCCCACAGAAATGAGACTCAGCCGCTGCCCACTGCTGTGCTGCCAACGTGCCGCGAAAATCTTGAAGCAAGCCCTCAGCCTCGTCGATCGAGACCAGAGCTTCAGCTGGAAAGGTCCATTGAAAGTCGCACCCCCCTCCAGGGAGCGCTGGTCCTTTCCAATCGTTGGGGGCCGTTGGTGTCCAACCCGCTGACGGAAGGTGCGTAATGACCGCTGAGATAGGACCTCGAATGCGACGTGACCTTCTGTTGGGTTCGATAGCTTCTGAATTCCTCCGAACGGCGTCCCAAACGAGAAATACACCAGCATGAGACTGAGGAAACCTAATCCAGCAATCCAGCCAAGTCTTGAGGCACGACGTTGGTAAAGCAATCCCAGGATCCCGAAGTGGTGCTCTGAGATCCAGAAGGGTAGTGAGACATTTTTTTTTTTTTTTTTTTTTTTCCAGAGCCAGAAACTGCCCCCAGACGTTGCCGTAACCTCCTGAGTTGATGACCCATAATACCATACATATATCTAGACCGTAGCTAGAACAAGCTTGAGGACCTGCCAGTTCAATCTTCTTGGTGGTGAGATACCGCCTAGCAGCCCGAGCATATCCCTTCAACCTGTGGTGCTGCACAAGCCCCTTGGCGGCTCGCTGCCGCCTGGTACGCCTGGCCTGCCTGACTCCCGCGCCTAGGTCAATGCCCAGGTAGGGGGCCTGCAGAACTGCTTTGACTTTGATGCGCCGACGCTTAAGCCGACATGTGATTTGCTGCGCTGCAGAATGAACGGGGCTGATAACAACACTCTTGTCTGCCAACTGAAGGTGATACTCGTCCATAGACTGCGCCACCTGACTGATACACTGTACAGAAGAATCAACCACGGCCCGATGCGACCCCACAATTTGCACCATCAAATCGTCAATCCAGATCCTTTGCGTGGCCGAAAACGGGGCCTGGGAAATTCTGTCAAGAATGAAATAGGTTAAGCACCTGGCAAACCTGGTGCCATTGCGAAGCCCCTGGGTAATTTATTTGTGGGGTTGAAACGCCAGGCTGTTAGCCCCGTTCTGACTCAAAATACGAGGCGACATGCATTGCTGAAGTTCCAAGCCCAACATAACCGAAGGAAACCCAAGGCTCAACGCTGTGTCAACCAGGATGTCCCAGAGGATGGAATCGTAAAAGCCTTTAATATCCAGGATAGCCTGACTGAAAGACACCCCCAGACGCTTGCAAACTTCAGCATCCAGAACTCTCCGAAAGGCCCCCCTTTAAGCCGAGTTGCCAGAGATTGCTGCATCCCATGCTGGTGTGGTCTCCGAAGCCCACAACTTGGCATGCCCGTCTCTCGCGAGAGACCAGGGACGGCAGACCATGCATAGAAGCCCAATCACCCTGTCCCCTTCAGACTTTTTGGCCAGTAGTTTCCCCAGTACCGCTAATACTTGCCATGGCCAAGTGAGCGCCTGCTCACAAGCCGTGAAAAATTGACATGAGGATTCCAAGGCAGCATATGGTAGCCTCTCGAGATCGAGTTGCGTAAATTGATCGATGCCATGGCCTGCTGATGCTCGCATCTCCCGAAGCGCTGCCCGTAAATCCTGCACCGTGAGTTCTGGTAGCTCCCCCGAGGCCGCCTCAACGCGAATGCGAGACATAAGCTCCGACACATGTCTAGGCGTGACTGGATGTTCCGACCAGAGCGTGTGATACTTCTCAGCCTTGGCATCGATGACATCGATGGGGTGAAAATGTTTGACCCCACGGTGCAGAAACTCATGATCAGGAACTGGTTCCGAGCGCAAGCTCCGAAAAACTTGGCCTTGCTTGCTGCCGTCTACAATCCACTGCTGAAGCCGATACAAGGAGCGACGCATTGCCTTGCGCTGGGCCCTCTTGGCAATTCGCTCAGCCCAGCTAGCCAGCTTGACAAGGAAATCGACGCCGAGGTTCCCAAGAGACTTGAGATAATGCACCCAGGCTTCTAGAGAAGGCTCCAAGGTATGCGAAAGAATGATGGTGTGCGCCCCCTCGGGGACGTCCACTGACAATTTGATGCTGGTGTGCAGGAGTTCTTTAATCTGCTTGCCCCCGTTATCCCGTTGCCGATGTTTGCAGAGCCTCGAGATGATAACCGAAACCCTGGCCCACCAAGTAGCAATCTTGTCGGACAGCGGAAGCTCGCGATATTTCTGCGCCTGCTGCACTGGCTGCCGCACGAGTTCAGGACCGTCGGTTTTAGATCGTCCGCGAAACGAATCCCCCAAAGGATCGGCAGAATGATGAGCTGAAATCGTTCTTTCGGCAGTCTGGGCCCAGGCTGCGAATAAACTGCTGACCCCCAGTCTGCGCGGTCCCCCAACCTGAAACGCATGCGACTCAAGAACAAAAGAGAACATCGCTGCTGGCTTGAGGAACGAAACCCACTCGAACCAAATGGTGACGCCAACTGGAGTCAGGGATGAGAAAGGAAGGGCTGGAAGGCTCAACCTTGCTCGAAGATTCATCAACTACATCCTGACCTGGGGGTTCCAACGTGGTGGGGGGGTCCGAATTCAGCTGATCATTCTGCCTGACCTCTCCAAGGTCCCCTTCGGGATATAACGAATTATCCTCGTCCTCGCCCCAGAGCGCTGGGTCAAGATCGAAGGGATCTGATTCGGCCTGCGACTTAGGAGCCTCTGCACCTCCAGTGTCCGATTGGCCGTCGTCGTCGTCGTCGTCGTCGTCGTCGTCGGCCTCGTCATCGTCGTCGTGCTCGTTGCTTGTCGCCTCCCTTTGGGGCGGTGGCTTCCCCTCCCTGTCCCCCTCCTCCCCTCCTTCTCCTCCTCCTCCTCCTCCTCCTCCTCCTCCTCCTCTTCCGTCCTCCACTTTTTCTTCTTCTTCTGTTTCTTCTTATTCTGCTTCTTCTTCTTCTTCTTCTTCTCCCTTCTCCTCCCCCTCCTCTGCCTCCTCCTCCTCCTCTCCCACATGCCTCTAGTCGAGGAGCCGATCTTTGTAGGGCCCCCATGGCGGAACACATTGGTTTTTCTATGGTCGTTGCTGGTTTAGGGGGGATTTTGTTTTTTAGCTTAGAACTGTCCAACACGGCCCACGAGGTTCAACAAATCATCCCAAAACGGCCCAAGAAGCCCCCGAAAGGGCCCGAACAAATGTCAAAACGGGCTTCCCGACGGCCCCAGGGGGCCCAAAACGGCCCAACGGGGCCGCAAGACGGCCCAAAGAGAGCCCCAAGAGGGCCCAAAGAGGCTCGCAAGATTGCACGAAGAGGCCCCCACGAGAGCCCCAAGACGGCTAAAGGCCTCCAACACGCCACAAGTCTGCCTAAAAGGGCCCCAAGGCAGCCCAAAATTGCCCCACCTCGAGCCCAACACATTGATTTCCTTCGGGTTTTTGTGTGGTGTTTTGGTTCTCTCCTTTTCGGGCCCAGACGGGCCCAGCACGGCCCACGAGGCCCCCCAGAATTCAAAGGAGCCGAAAACGGTCCACGAGGACCCCCAGACGGCCCAAAAGGACCCCGCAACAGTCCGACATGGCTCCAAGACGGCTCCAAGAGAGCACCAAGAGGCGCGCAAGAGACTCCCAAGGAGGCCCACAGAGGCGGTATGGAGGCGGGGCTGCTTGGGTGTGGGGACTGGGCTGGCCCCAATGCTGCCCAAGGACCCCAAAACGACCCTCAAGAGGGCCCCCGAGAGGGCTTCAGGAAGCGAAGCACCGTATTTGCCTTGCGGTTGTTCAAGGTGTTTGGTGTTCTCACCTTTTCGGGCCCAGAAGGGCTTCAGACGGCCCAGAGGTCCCACAGATCGTCCCCAGATAGCCCCAGAGGTCCCAAAAGGGATCGACAGCTGTCCAAGACGGCCCCCCCCGACTGCCCCAGAGGGCCCCACAACGGCCCAAGAGGGCCCCACGACGGCCCCACGAGAGCACCAAGATGGCCCCAAGAGGCTTCCAAGGAGGGCCCGAAGAGGCGGTGTGGGGACTGGGCTGTTTGGGTGTGGGGACTGGGCTGGCCCCAAGACGGCCCAAGAGCCCCAACACTGTTCAAACGGGCCACCAAAAAGGATCCCCAAGAGGCCCAAGAGACGCCAAGGAACACAATGGCTCCCCACGGCGAGCGCTGTCGTAAGAAGCTCTGAACACCAAGGCTCCCCAGAGCGCGGTGACGCACAACGCTCGTCACACCAAGTCTCCCAAGAGCGAGCGACAACGTCAAAGTCTCTGAACACCAGGGCTCCCAACGGAGAGCGGCGAGGTAACAAGCTCTTCACACCAAGTATCCCAAGAGCGACGGGTGCCATGAGCCTCTCGAGTTCCAAGAGGCTCCCAAGATGGCCCGACGAGGCGGTGTGGGGACTGGGCTGTTTGGGTGTGGGGACTGGGCTGGCCCCAAGACGGCCCAAGAGCCCCAAAACTATTTAAAAGGGCCACCAAAAATGATCCCCAAGAGGCCCCCAGAGACGCCAAGGAACACAATGGCTCCCCACGGCGAGCGGTGTCGTAAGAAGCTCTGAACACCAAGGCTCCCCAGAGCGCGGTGACGCACAACGCTCGTCACACCAAGTCTCCCAAGAGCGAGCGACAACGTCAAAGTCACTGAACACCAGGGCTCCCAACGGAGAGCGGCGACGTAACAAGCTCTTCACACCAAGGCTCCCAAGAGCGAAGGGTGCCATGAGCCCTCTCGGGCAAGTCCCTGCAACGCTCTTTCCTTTCCCGTGCTGACCCAGGTAACGGAAAAGGGCGAGGTACGAGTGATGACGTTCTTGTGTGGGGCGAAGCCCTTCAGGGAGGGGTCCAGGGGAGGGGCGAGGGCCGCGCGCAGGGGCGTTAATGGCCGCCGCGGGCGGTGTCCTTGTTATTTTCTAGTGAAGCGGCTCCCGGGCGGTTCCCATGGCCAGTTCCTTTTCTGTATTTTTCCGAGTGACGCGGCCCAAGGTCCCCAAGACGGCCCAAGAGGCTTTAAAACGGCCCGAGAGGGCACCAAGATGGCCCCAACGGCTCAAGCCGTTGTTGGCTCAAGTCGCGATTGCAGTCTCTCGAGCCACAAGTTTTGCCAGCATCAACCAGCACGCGCGAGGCACTGGCACCAATGACATCAAGTGACACCAACGCCCAATCGCGCTACAGCGGCGCCCTATTTCTCCTAGTTGCAGCTTATGTGCTCTGCGTCATAGCCGGCGCTGCCGGAGCTTACACTTGCGTCAACGACCAGGACTCCATGGAAGAGTTTGTTTATTGGTTGATGGAGGTTGCTGCCTACTCGCCTGTTGGTTTGATGGTGGCTTGGGTCTTGGCCAATCAGCGCCGCTTCAATTTCGATCTGCCCCTTCACAAGTGGACTTGGCGATATGGCATCACAAGCGCCCTAGTGGCGGGAACAGCTCCGTTTTTCCCGTGGCTCTTCTTGTGCCACCCTGGCTACCCCGCCCAAGTCGCACACACTGTCCACGGTAATGGGTACTTGTTCGGCAAAGTCGTGTCTTGGTTTCTCGTGGAGCATAAGCTCAGGGTACTCGGGAGTAAGCGGCTCGCGAATCTTACTCGAGTCTACGCGATCTGCAACGGAGTGCTTTGCCTTCCTATCCCACTCATACTCTTCATGCCCGAGACGCTCTCTTTATCGCCAGCGCAGAGCGACTTCCTCATGATGGCCATTTGGTACGGAACCATGGTCACGGGCGGCATGGCTTTCGGCATCACTTTCGGTTTGCTGGCGTTGCGCGCCGCGCGCGGGCTTCGCTCTTCCAACAAGGCCAAGAAGAATGCAGCAAAGTGGGTTGCTTTAACAGCAGTTGTTTTCATGGGCTCGTTCACAAGCTTCGGCGTAAGCTTTTACTCGGTCTGGGCGTGGGGCCCCGGCCCCGGCTGGGTGGCGGCCTTTTTCGTCGACACCACGCTCGATTGCATCAGCGTGGTGGTCTTCTCAGGTCTCGTCGGGCCACCTGGGCTCCGGCGCTTGGCGCGCGAAGCGTTTTCGGCAATTAACACTTACGACGACGACCACCTGCAATCGTTCTACGAAGGTTTCTTGAAGTATCTCGATGATGCGCAGATCAAATGGGTGCGGTGCGGCTTCTTGCGCCAGCTTGCCCAAAGTGGACGGTTGCTAATGCGCTGTCAGGACGTCCCGGCTTCCGAGACAATCGTTGGCAGTGTTGGTTTTCCACGTTCTAGGACCGATGGGAAGGGCCGATTCGTGTGTTCACATCCTTGGCTCTCCAAGTGGCATCCAGACCCCGCTGGCGTGAAACTGCGCACACTTGTTGAACAGCTAGACAAGCTGAGCGCCTGCGACGACGATGCCGTCTTCATGGACTTCATCAGCATACCGCAACACGACTTCCAGAACCCCGAATTGCGATTGTTGGATAGCCAAGGTAGCTGGCCCATGCCAGGCACACACGCAGCCGTTCGCACTCTCGAAGAGGAAACCCTGTTCAGGAAGTCTCTCGGGTCGTTCGAGTTGATGTACAGCGTTAGCAGCACGCCCGTGATAGTCTTGCCAATGAGCGAGTGTCTGGATGAAGGCTCGTCGCCTTACATCAACCGTGGTTGGTGCTATTTTGAGTTTTGTTTGTCTTTGAGCTTCGAGAACATCTTCAACGCCAACACCTTGCAGTCCGTTTGCAAGTTGTGCGACGACGTCAATGCAGAGGAAGGCGACACAGTTCAGGGGTTCCGCGTAGCTTTTTCAAGCAAGGTGTTCACGGACAGCGGGGATAGGGATTTTGTCAAGAGTTTGTTCGAGAACACCTTGGCGCGTAAGGTGATCTAAATCGGATTACGATGTATAGGCTTACGCCACATCCGCCAACCCCTTGATCGTCTTGGGGATGTCGTGTTGCTGTCCCTGGGGCGTACTTGTACTGTCTTGTTTCTTTGGGTGGGCGGGCTCGAGGCTCTTCGGAGCCATCCCCGAGCGAGTCCGGGGGCATGTGGGGCCGTTCACGGGACGAATCTTGCACGTCTGGAGGCCGGATGAGGGTTGCATCACTTGTGTCCAGACACGCGACAAGGCAGTGATCCGTGGCGGTGGTGATGGTGATCCGTGGTGGTGGTGATGGTGATGGCGGTGGTCATGGTGCGGGTGATGGCGATGATGATGCTGGTGGTGATGTTGTTGATGATGCGACGCGGAGATGTTGACATGTTACCAAACAGGAGAAAGCGGAGGAGGAGGAGGAAGAGGGGGAGGATGGGGGAGAGGCGGAGGAGGGTCCTCAGAGGAGGAGGAGAAGGAGGAGTGACGATTTGGGGAAAATGCCTGTCAACACCCGCGCCCATAGACGGCATGCGGCGGTCCAAAAACTGGACGAGTCGTTGTCGAATGGGACGCGGCGCATCCTGCCACCTTGCGCGGTATACAGGTAGGCGGCCACACGGATGGTGAAGAAGATCTCGTGCGAGGCCTGACGGGGTCGTCTTGCAGGTGGTTTAGGGGCCTCTTGGGGACTTCCTCGTGGCTTCCTGGAGGCTTCGGAGATTTTCTAGGAGGTCCCGCAGGCAATTTTGGGGCGTTCTTGGAGCAGGCTGGGAACCGAAGGCTCGAAAAGGTGCCCGGTGGACTCCGTGTTGGAGCCGTTTAGGGGCCCTCACGGGCTGTCTTGGGGGCTTCGTGGGCTGTTGTTGGACCCTCGCCGATTCTGCTTTGGGGCCGCTTTGGCCGTCTGGGAGCGATGTAGAAGGTGTCTTTGCCTGTTGTGGACGCTGTGATTGCCGAGTAGGAGAGCACGCGGAGTAACGCGTGGTTTTCGATGGAAATGGGCAGATTTTCCCGGAAAGGGCGTAGGCCCAGGGTTCTCTTTTAGAGGTTTACCCCCGGACCTGACTTGAGGTGGGCCGGCGGGATTATTCCTTGAAAAATATCGAAGTCGAGGTGGGCCGGCTGAATTCATTGGGAGGATGTCTCGAGCGATTTTTTTTTTTTTTTTTTTTTTTTTGTTCGGTTTCAGAATTTGTTGAGGATGTCTCGAGCGAAACGCTGGTTTTGCAGAGTTGGGGATGTCTCGAGCGAAGCGCTTGTTTTCAAAATTTGTTGAGGTTGAGGATTTCTAGAGTGATACGCTGGTTTTGCAGAGTCGACCGCGGCGCGGAAAAGCGCCCCGCGCGCAGGAATTCCGAGGATGTCTCGCGCGTGCCGCGTCCCGCGCGCGCAGGATTTTCGAGGGTGTCTCGACGAATTCGTTGGTTTTTTTCTATGATTCCGGTGAATGTTGGCAGGATGTCTCGAGCGAAATGCTGGTTTTAATTTCATAATTGGTTGAGGATGTTTCGAGCGAGACGCAGGTTTTGCAAAGTGTTAATAATTTGTTGAGGATGTCTCGAACGAAGCGCTGGTTTTGCAAAATTGGGGGATGCCTCGAGCGGGGGCCTGGTGGGGGGCCAGAGTTCAGAGGATGTTTCAGGCAAAATGTTTGTTTTCACGCCCCGCTCGCAGGAATTCCGAGGATATCTCGCGCGTGCCGCGTCCCGCGCGCAAGAATTTCGAGGATGTCTCGACTAATTCGTTTGTTTTGCGAGGATTTCCTTGGATTTTGACAGGATGTCTCGAGCGAAACGCTTGTCCCCAGCACGTTCCGTAGCGCGTCCCCTTGGCACGTCCCGCGGTGAGTCTCCATGGCACGTCCCTTGGCACGTCGCTTGGCGCGTCCCTTGCGAAGTTCCGCGGCGCGTCCTCCTGGCATGTCTCCTTGTCAACTAGCTCTGGGGCAGCTACTCTGTGTTCAGGCATCTCGAGCTGAAAATCGAAATCACTTCGGTCAGGACTCGGATGCAAAGGAGGACTCGATCCACGAGGCTATAGAGCACAATCGCGGCATGGCGCATCGCAATTCAGCACGGTGCAGCACAGCACAGCCCTCGGCACGGTACATCAAGATCGATACACTCATCATTGCAACTTGGCACGTTCCTTTGCACGTTCCGTGGCGCGTCCCTTGGCGAGTCTCCCTGGCACGTCGCGTGGCGCGTCCCCTCGCACATCCCGTGGCACATCCATTGGCACGTTCCGTAGCGCGTCCCTTTGGCACGTCCCTCGGTGCGACCCCGTGGCATGTCCCCTGGCACGTCGCCTGGCGCATCCCTTGGGACGTTTCGCGGCGCGTCGTCCTGACATGCTCCCCTGTCCATCAGCTCTGGGGCAGCTACTATGTGTTCAGGCAGCTCGAGCTGAAAATCGAAATCAGTTCGGTCAGGACTCGGATGCAAAGGAGGACTCGATCCATGACGCTGTGGAGCACCATCGCGGCATGGCGCATCGCAATTCAGCACGGCGCAGCACAGCACAGCTTTCGGCAGGGTACATCGAGATCGATACACTCAGCATGGCATTTGCCCGTCACCCAATCAGGTGTCTTCGAAAACGCTGCCATGTGTTACAGTTCTATATTCCTTTCCGGGTTCGTGGGTCGATCATGTTTGTTTCTTGCGACCCTTTCCGGGCGCATCTTAAGGGCCTTTTTGGGGCGTCCCGGCAGCTTCGGAAACCGCGTGGAGGCCATCGCGGGCGTCTGGGGGCGGTATGTCGGCGAATCGTGGTCTCGGGGACCGTCCGGGGAGCGTTTTGGCATTTTTTGGCGAGTTGTGGTAAGTTTTGACGAGTTTTGGAGCCCTGTGACGCGTTCGGTCCGGGGTCCGGCCTGGCCAGGTGGGGGGTCAAATTGCCGGTTTGGGGTCCTTGGGGGGAATATGGGGGGACAAGAATCTCACGCGCCTAGAGACCCACAAGGGGTCGGCGGAGTGTTGGCAGCGACGGTGCCGGCAGTGGCCGATGCCCACACGACAGCAGACCTTTGCATGGCATCACCGAACGCGCCTGGGGGCAGAGCCTCCTACATTCGAAAATCAGGAAGAAATGCCTTGGTACATCTGGCTCGCAAGTCCAATAATCCTTGCGGACTTCCAACATGCTGTTTTTCCTCGAGCCTCTGAGATGCCCAGATTAGTTTGTAGTGCAAGTTCGGGGGCAGGGACGTCACGATGAGAAGGCGCCAGATCGGACGCAGTGCCAGGCCCATCACATACGGGACAGATTTTCCAGTGCGGGACGTGCACGATGATTCGGCGACAGGCTTGAATCCTGAGTGTACTTCTGGCGTGCCTGATCCATTTTGTGTGAGACCGTTTCTTTGCCTTATATATATATATATATGGTCGCCCCCCCTCCTATGATCTACCTAAGCCTCTTTGCGGCCTTAACTTCCACTCGGAAGCCCTCGGGGTTGGGCCTTGACTTCCACTCTCGGGGGCACTCGGGGGAGCGGGACGGGGGAGCGGGAGCGGGAGAGCGGGAGAGCGCGGAGAGCGGGAGAGCGGGAGAGCGGGAGAGCGGGAGAGCGGGAGAGCGGGAGAGCGGGAGAGCGGGAGAGCGGGAGAGCGGAAGGAGGCGGGAGCGGGAGGCGGGAGAGCGGGAGAGCGGGAGAGCGGGAGAGCGGAGAGCGGGAGAGAGCGGGAGAGCGGGAGAGAGCGGGAGAGCGGGAGAGCGGGAGAGCGGGAGAGCGGGAGAGCGGGAGGGCGGGAGAGCGGGAGAGCGGGAGAGCGGGAGAGCGGGAGCGGAGAGCGGGAGAGCGGGGAGAGCGGGAGAGTGGCCATCCAGGCCCGGGCCATTCCGTCCCGGGGCCTCTCGGGCCACCCGTGCCACCCAGGAAGCCCAGTTGGCGCGTTCTCGCTCTCCCGCTCTCCCGCTCTCCCGCCCTCCCGCTCTCCCGTTCTCGCTCTCCCGCTCTCCCGCTCTCTCCCGCCCTCCCGCTCTCCCGCTCTCCCGCTCTCCCGCTCTCCCGCTCTCCCGCTCTCCCGCTCTCCCGCTCTCTCCGCTGCTCTCCCGCTCTCCCGCTCTCCCCGCTCTCCCGCCTCCCGCTCTCCGCTCTCCCGCCACTCTCCCGCTCATCCCGCTCTCCGCTCCGCTCTCTCCGCTTACGCTCTCCCTCCCCCCTCTCCCGCTCTCCCGCTCTCCCACCGCACTCCCGCTCTCCCGCTCGCCTCGCTCTCCCGTATTCCTCTCTCCCGCCTCCCGCTCTCCCGCTCTCCCGCTCTCCCGCTCTCCCGCTCTCCCGCTCTCCCGCTCTCCCGCTCCTCGACTCTCTCATTCTCCCGTTCTGCCGCTCCAGGCCCGAAGAGATGAGGAGGAGGAGGAGGAGGAGGAATGGCGGATGGGGGGAGGAGGAGGAGGAGGAGAGGTAGGAGGAAGGGCAAGGACAAGACAAGACAATCACCATGAGCTCCAACCGATGTCTCTGGAGAGAGCTGAGTGCACTATGCAATCCAGCTATATCAAAATCACCACTGGGCAGAACAACGAATTGAATGCCAAGTGATTCTGGAGCGGCGAGCCTGATCAAGCCAGGAACGTGCCTAGAGGCTGGGCCTCGAGGCGACAGGACGGTACCCTACGGAGCCACGGTGGCTCCAGGGTACGTCCCCACGATCTCCGACGTGTGAGGGGACCGCGAGGGGCACTCCTGAATTTATCCCAGGGCAAGACCCTCAGTTTTAACCCTCGAGAGGGCCGAGGGTAGTGTGAAAAAGGATCCCGACGCCGCCGACGCAGTCGCTACACGACGGAGCCCATATTGGCGTGCCCTGCTGGAGCTCACGTGTATTTCAGAGAGATTCTACAGCCGACTTGGGATGCACTCGGGGACACGTCGGCCATTGTGAGCACACTCGAACCAGATAGTCTCGATGAACACATGAAGGTGTCCACGCGCTGGTACATCCAGCGTCTGACCAACCAGCAGTGCGATCCAAGGCCCAAGTGCGTCATGGATATATCACCTGGCGCCGCAGGCGAGCGAGCTGGTGGTAGCGATTCTGAGTGGGGCGCCTTAGCTTGCTGCTTGAGAAAATTATGGCAGGAAGAGAACAAGAAGAAGCATGGAGAGGAGCGCAAATTAGCAAAAGGCAGGGGCAGACAGGTTGGGGACTGGAAAGTCGCGAGAGAGCTATGCAGTTTGCTCGATGTTCCAAGAGGTTCGGCTTTCACAAAATTTGTGACGCTCGCAAAAAGCTGTGGGCCTTTGGCCGAATACTTGATCCAGAAGGACACCGATGTCAATTTCTTCGGCAAGCAGCAGCTCTATGCATTAGTATTTCCAGTTGATACTGACAAGATGTTGAAACTTACCCGGTCTTTTGACATCCCAGCGCCGACGGCAAGTCCCAGCGAAAGATGGCTCATGGGAGCTCGGCCTGAGGATAAAGACTACCTGTTGTCTGATGAAGAGCAGGAATTCCGTCAGGCAAACTGCTCCGTTGTGTGCGCGGTGGCGGACGTCGTGGACATCAACGGCTTGGTTGCCCACGTCGATTCTGGCGTCGACCGGCGGCAGGCCCAGATTCAAGGATATTCTCGTTTATTGGAGAAACGAGGAACCGCATCCATGGAAGTCGCTGCAGACGGCGGACAGCGCTCATTGAGGAGTCTTCTTCGGACCTACATGAAATATGGATTTGGGCGAATTCATACTGCGGGACCTTCACTCCAGAAAGTTACCAGGGAAGCTCGGCGCGCCGCCTTGGCCGGCATTCCAGGAGGCGTTTTAGAACTCGACATGAAGGTTGCGTTTTTCAGCTTGTTGGTTGTTGCCTTAAAGCAGCACGATCAGCTCAACGTCGAAGCAGAGTTCCCGCTTCTGTGCAACGTTGTCAGCAACTGGGACGGATGGAAAACTTTTGTGTCTAAGTACTTCGACGTCGAGGTGGCCGTCGCGAAGAAGCTGCTGATTTCGGCAACCAGCCCCTACGGGCGGCAGTCGCCAAATCCACAGGAGCGGCCTGACTGGCTCCCACACTTGGACTGTTTGCAGACGGAAATAGTCAATGCTTCTCGGTTTCTTCTCGAGCACGACGTTCTTTACCAGGAGGTCGCGAAGGCGCGACCAGATTGCAGCTCGCTGCACATCTTCTTCGGCGAACTGGAGTGCAGTGTCCTGATGGACATGAAGCACCTGTTGGAAGAAGCAGGTGCGGTGCCGATCTCTTTAGTCTACGACGGTATTTACTTCAGACCCATGGGGCTCGACGTGCACGACGAGAACTTCATCGCACATGTGTCTGCGATCGAAGCCGGCCACGGGATATCTCTGCAATTGAAGGATTTAAGCGGCGCGCCGATTCCTTGGAGGAGCGCCGCTCCCGAGCCAGGCGACCGCATTCTAGGCGGCAGTTCCTCTTCTCGGCCGCGCGAGGACGACTTCTCTTCCGTCCTGGCGGCTGCGTGCGAGAAGTTGGAAGGCAAGGCGCTCGAGGTTGTCCACGGTGAGAACATGTGCGTCATCAGTGCTCTCTCAAACATGGACTTAGTTGCGGGGGAGCCGAGCCAGGCAGGGTTCGCTAGCGGCCCGTACTCTTACCGACAATTGCAGAAGCTCTACCCCCCTCTCAAGTTCTCCGAGGTACTGCTGAGCGACTTGATTTGCGCGGATCCCATGGATAATTTTGTCCTGCATATCGGCACGCCCGGAACTCGTGGACATGCAATTGGTCTTCGTGCCCGCGAGGGGTTGCCGATGATGTTGGTTTACGACTCGCGTCAGGAAGTCGTCATGCAAATGGGTGACGAGGCTCTATACGACTTGGTTACTCATTGGGGCGATGGCCGACGCCACGTTCGCCTGCTCCGAGTGGCTGACGGAGATGACGGCAAAGTTAGTATCGAGGCGGATGTTTTGGATTTGGTTGCTGGGTCCACTCGGCCGTGCACGAAGAGGCCCAGTGCCTTTCAGTCTTGCATGCCTAAGCGTGGGAAGGCGCGCATGGTCAGGAAGATCGCAAAAAGGCCAGCTGCGAAGCACAAGACCCCATGCGTGCCTTACGTTCGACACGGGCAAAAGACTATTAAATCTCGCCCAGAACGGATTGCAATCCAATGTTCCCTGAAGACCGTGTACACCGCCACTGCGATGGGCCTAGTGAAGAAGCTCACCGCGAGCGGCCATCTTCGCGATTGGCGCGGCGAGATCTGCCCCTGGTGCGGGGAGGGGGAGTTGGGCCCATTGAAGAATTTTCCAGGCAGGAGCGCGAGCTACCGATGCAGGAGCAAAAGGTGCCAGAAGTTTGTGCTGCCCCATCACGACCATCCTGTGTTTTCACATGGCCAGGGCAACGCATCAGCGCCATTCGCGGACAAGGTAGCTGTCTGCATGTGTGCGACCTGGGACGTGGCACAGAGCAAGTGCCACCAGATAACTGGTAATAGCCACAAGCTCATCGAGAATGTCTACACTCGCCTTGACAGCGCCAGGATGAAGTATGTCAAGAAGAAGGAAAAGAGCATCAAGTTCGGCGCTATCGACAAGTGGCCGGACGTGGAGGCGGACGAGGTGGGCCTGGGCAAGAGGGATGATGCGGAGAAGGATGACCAGGACAAGCCAGTGCAATGGGAACAATGGGGAGGATTAGTCGAGCGGGGCAGGCCGGACACTTTGGTCCTGACGCGTCTTGATCCATGCACGACGAAACGGCGTGCTCCAGGGCCTGGCCCAATCCGCAAACGCGACTGGAAGCCTATTGCCAAGCGACACCTTGAGAACCGAGAGGTCGTGCTGCACACAGACGGGGCGAAAGCGTACAAGCTCAAGATCCCGAAGGTTCTGCACGACAATGTTGTCCACATGAAGAAGAAGGTCACTCTGCGAGGGGTGACGCGCTGGATCAAGCCGAAATACTCTGAGGTTGTGGCCCACAGATTGCCGACTGGCGAGCAGATGTACACTAAGTCGGGAACGCAGATCATCGATCGATTCTGGTCGCATCTGCGGAAGCATTTGCAATCGCGCACGCACAGGGTTGGCACCCTTGCCGCAACGCGCCGCATTCGTTCCGCCCAGTGGACATACTGGAACAAAGGTGCGGATTTGTGGGCTTGCACTGGTGAAATGCTCAAGGGTCTTTATTGATTGTTTATGTCATTTGCGAGCGATGCTCCTTTCCCGCATCAGACCAAGTCATATGCTGCGCGAGGTATGATTTCGAAGTGGTCTCGCTGATTCACTGTGCTCCTTTGTGCTACAAAAAAGACATAAGGTAGATCATAGGAGGGGGGGCGAGCATATATATATATATATATATATATATATATATATATATATATATATATCGGAGTAGGGCCCGGGGGCGGCCCGGGGCGCTGCCATAATCTCCAAGGGGTGCAGGGGCCCCCGGGAGCGTCCGAAGCGTCCCGGAGGGCCCCTGGGACCGCCAGGAACAGTTCGAGACCGCCCAAGACGGCCCGCGAGCGCTCCAAGACGCGCATAGATAGCCTCAGGAATGGCCAGGAAGGCCCGAAGACGTTCCAAGAGAGCTCCATGAGGCCCCGAAAGCATCCCAAGAGGCCTCCCAAGAGAGCGCCGACAAGCCAAAATCGTTGATTTCTATTGTTTTTTTCGAGGTTTTTGGCCTTCTCGTTTTTTCGGGGTTCCGACGCTCCAAGACCGTCCAAGAGTCTCCCAAAACCGCTCCAAGACGGCCGAAGAGGCCCCCAATACCGCCCCAAGACGGCCCAAGAGACCCCCAAAATCGTCCCAAGACGGCCCAGGAGAGCCCCAAGATGGCCCAGGAGCCGCCCAAGACGGTTCCAGGAGAGCCCCGACAGGGCTTCAAGACTGCCTAAGCGAGCCCAGCGGCCCCAAGAGGGCCCCGCGAGGCCCCAAGAGGCCCCAAAGAGGCCCCCAAGAGCCTCCCCGGAGGCCCCCAGAGGCCCCCAAGATGCCCAAAAATGGCCCTGAGCGCGCCCCAAGACGCCTCCAGGAGAGCCCAACAGGCCTCCGAGAGGCCCCCAAGAGGCCCACTGGAGGCCCTCAGGAGGTCGTCCCCATCATGTTCCCGGAAGGCGGTCCGGGAACATGATTCCGTGCCTTGGAGGAGTATTTTGCGCCTTCCGAGGCGCCTTGGACGACGTACGATTCATATTCTTGAACGCTTTCCGGGAACATGATTTCTCACCGTTTCGGAACGCTTTCCTACTGCTGCGGTGCTCTGGGGGGAAGGGACGAGGCGAAGCTGCTTGGGCGGGCGAGAGGAAAGTCTCCTGTGGCTCAGGCGCGGCCAGACCAAATGTCTCCCTTCCGGCGTCCGGTGGCGCGCGGTGTCCCGCCGGTGTCCCGCTTTTGCTGATGCGCGGCCGGACCAAATGACTCCCTTCCAGCGTCCAGGCGCGGTGTCCCGCCGGTGTCCCGCCGGTGTCCCGTCGGTGTCCCGATGATGAAGATGAGATGATGGTGATGATGATGATGATGTTGATGATGATGATGATGATGATGATGATGATGATGATGATGATGATGATGATGATGATGATGATGATGATGATGATGATGATGATGATGATGATGATGAGATGATGATGATGATGATGATGATGATGATGATGATGATGATGATGATGATGATGATGATGATGATGATGATGATGATGATGACGGTGATGATGATGATGATGTTGCTGATTGATGATGATGATGATGATGATGATGATGATGGCATTCCGAAATTGATGATGATGTTGATGATCCGGATGATGAGATGATGAGATGATGATGCTGATGACGAGTGAAGATGATGATGATGGTGTCCCGATGATGATAGTGATGATGAGGTTGATGATGATGTTGTTGATAATGATGATGGTGATGAAGATGATGGTGTCCCGATGATGATGTTGATGATGATGATGACAATCATGGTGTCCCGGTGATGATGATGAGGATGATGATGATGTTGTGATGAGGATTTGTATGATGGTGGCCCGATGATGCTGCTGATGCTGATGATGATGGCCTCCCGATGATGACGATGAAGATGGTGATGATGATGGTGACGATACTGATGGTGTCCCGATGATGATGATGATGATGATGATGATGATGATGATGATGATGATGATGATGATGTTGATGATGCTGATGTTGTTGATGAGGATGCTGTCCCGATGATTATGTTGATGATGTTGTTCATGAAGATGATGATGATGAGAGGATCATGGCGATGATGGTGATGTTCCGATGCTGATGATGATGATGATGATGTTGTCCCGATGATGGTGATGATGTTGAGGGTGCTGGTGGCGATGATGGTGTCCTGGTGCTGATGATGGTGATGAGGCTGATGATGTTGATGATGATGGTGATGGGGTGATGATGATGGTGGTGTTCCGATGATGATGATGTTGATAACGTTGATGACGATGATGTTGATGATGGTGTTGGTTATGAGATCGATTGTGATATCGATAGTGAGATCGATCGTGACACCGAATGTGATATCGATAGTGATATCGATAGTGAGGTCGATTGTGAGATCGATAGTCAGATCGATTGTGAGATCGATCGAATGAAATATATCGAGTAAGAGCGATTGTGAGATCGATCGAGTGAGATCGATTGAGCGAAACCGATAGTGAGATCGATAGTGATATCGATAGTGAGATCGATAGTGAGACCGATCGAGTGAGACGTCGGTTCCTCCCCCCCCGAACCTCCTTATCACCCGAAGGGTGGTCGTACAGGTAATGTTATGCGTTCTCATTCCTTCATGCTTCTTTCTCCTCATTTTCGCCATACCCTGCGCATTCCCCCCCCATCCTCCTCGGCTCTTTTTTGCGGAGGTTCCTCCTTGGAGAGAGAGCCCCTGGGGGTCTCGAAAATGTTGTTTCAGGCTTTCTTACGGCCTTCTGGAGGCCTCCTGGGCGTATTCTCGGAGCATCTGGGGGCTTCCTCGGGCCACCATGCCTCCAACGGCGGTCTCCCTGAACGACCGGGTCACGATTTGGAATGCTTCGAAGGGTGTCTTGGGGCCATCTTGGGCCGCCATGGGGCTCTCTGAGGGCCATCTTGGACCCGCGTTGCGCCGATTTGGGGCTCTCTTGGACTGCCTGGAAGCACTTTCGGATGGGGTTGTGGGGCGATTTTGGAGCCTCCCAGGCGGCTTCGGACGCCTGGAAGACCGCCGCATTGGAGCGCCGGGAAGCCGAAAAGAGGAAAACCCCAAAATTCACCAACAACCGATAATTCCGCCACGTACCATCACCATGTCACGCGTCAAATGCACTCATCGCATCTGTTATCGTCATCTTGATTATGCTTCGCGCTTCGCAAGGAGACATGAGCGAGTATACTTTCAGCTTGACCTTTCTCCCAACGTGATGGCGGGCAGTCGCGTTGGCTTAGCGGAGTGGTGATCAGTCCGCGTCCGCGCACCATCAGTTGTCGTTGCCCCCGCTCGCTCCAGTTTGGGGCGATTTTGGACAAGTGCTGTGCCGAACCAATATTACTGGTTGCAGTGGTTAGGGGGTCCCGAACGGTGTGCTCCAATCGCTGATACTATGATAACCTTTCGAACCACCGCGATCGCCCGCCATCAAAGAGGGTAAGGGGACTACCGCCACGCTGATAGGTGCGATCACAATGATCCTTTTGAGCACCTGTGGTATAGGGGTCCCGAACGGTGTGCTCCTTCGCTGATATTTCGATAAACTTTTTAAGCCACCGGGAACGCCCGCCATCAAAGAGGGTAAGGGGACTACCGCCACGCTGATAGGTGCGATCACTCTGATCCTTCTGGGCACCTGTGGTATAGGGGTCCCGAACGGTGTGCTCCAATCGCTGATACTGTGATCACCTTTCGAACCACCGCGATCGCCCGCCATCAAAGAGGGTAAGGGGACTACCGCCACGCTGATAGGTGCGATCACAATGATCCTTTTGAGCACCTGTGGTATAGGGGTCCCGAACGGTGTGCTCCATTCGCTGATATTTCGATAAACTTTTTAAGCCACCGGGAACGCCCGCCATCAAAGAGGGTAAGGGGACTACCGCCACGCTGATAGGTGCGATCACTCTGATCCTTCTGGGCACCTGTGGTATAGGGGTCCCGAACGGTGTGCTCCAATCGCTGATACTGTGATCACCTTTCGAGCCACCAGGAACGCCCGCCATTAGAGAGTGTAAGGGGGCTACCGCCACGCAGATAGGTGCGATCACTATGATCCTTTTGAGCACCTGTGGAAAATAGGCCCTTGCGCGGTCCAGTTCACGGTCATTGCTTGCCGGTGAGAGGCGCGGAGGTCGATTCGCCACCGTCTCCGTGGTAGCGGCGTCTCCGTGGTGGGGGAGGGTGGGGTGGTGGGGGGGTATGGGGGCGGGGCGCTCCCTCCATTCTTGGCCACCCCAGCAAGCCCGCATTACATAGGCCCTTGCGCGACCCAGTTCATGGTCTCGGCTTGCAGGTTAGTGGCGCGAAGGTCGAATCGCCACCGTGTGGTGATGGCTAGGAGTTCTCAAGTTTGACCCTGGGGCTTCAATTCCATGGACAAAAAATTATCAACAACCAATAGAACATCAATGATTTTGCCTCTCGGGGCCTTCTTTGGAGTGCTCTTGGAGGCCTCTTTGGGGCCGTCAGCGTGGCGGTGTGCCGGCAGGACGTGCCTTGCCCTTTCGCCTCAGATCACTTGCCCTTGGAGTGTCGCACGGTCAGTCGTCACAGACGGAGGCGACAGAGACGCATCAAGGTTGACGCTCCCATTCCACAGTGGTTGTTCGAAGACGGTGATTTTCTGCGCGCCTTTCGCGGTGAAATCGAGACCTGGGCTTCGGGCAGAAGCGATGGCAATCTCAAAGGCCTCGACGCCCTTGTCTCCTTTGCTGGTCTCGTGCGTTCTCTGGCTGACGATAGGCTTGAAACACGACTCGTCCAAGCGACGACGCCCGGCCATATGTTTGACGTTACCATGCGTGTCTTTTGTTGTGCCCGGGAGTCAGGCACAGTGCCGCTTGCAGTGTATAGTAAAGCTGTTAGAATCTATCCTTCGCTTGTGGAAATCGCCCCATGTCGCGTGCAGTTGTGCGAAGAGGGCCACGGCATCTCGGTTAGCTTGGAGGCTTAACGCGAGCATCTGCAGGTTCTCGCTGGCCGCTTGGTGGCTGAGCGCAGTGATGCCGAGTCGTCTGAGGACGACGTTTGGGACCATCCTGTCGACCCCCATTCTTTGCAAGCCGGTTCCGTCGGAACCAACCTCTCGAGACAGTTGAAAGCCTTGTTGCCGACGCATCGGCATAGTTTCAGTGTCATTTGGGACGAGTCTCACGCTGAATTCACCGATGACGTTGACGACCGCATCTCCGAGCTCATTCTCGAAGAGGGTCGGCGCCGCCAGGGGCGTCCCAGAGGTGAGTCAGCAGCAGCGGATCGCATACTTTCGTCGTGTCGCTTGGATCTTTCGTCGTGCCGGGAACGCCTGACTGACCAAGAAGTGTTGGGGATCATTTTGGGCATCTGCTCTGGTAAGCACCCTGGGCCGGACGGCGTGCCAGGGGTCGCATACAAGAGAGCGGCAAAATGGTTGCTCCCTGTTTTCCACGAGGCTCTGGAAGATCTGAAAGCCGGCATGGCGACCGCCAGCTTTCTCGACGCTTCTTGGGTGCCCATCGGGAAGGTGCCCAACCCCACCCATTTGTCCCACCTCCGCGATTTGGAAGTGCCGAACGAGAGCAGGAAAGTGGTTTCCCGTATGGTCTCCATTCTGCTCGACGAAGCTTCGGCGGGATCCTTGCACGCTGCGCAGCAGGCCTTTGCGCGCAAGCGGGACATCGTACGAAATGTCGTGGGCCTCAACGAGGTGTATTACTCAGCCGTGGAAGCGGGTGTCTTGAAGGCAATATTATGCACTGATTGTTCCAAAGGGTACAACATGATGGGGTTGGCTTACGTCCGACGAGTTCTCGAACACGCCCGTGCCCCGCCGGACATCCTGACCTGCGTGACAACGATGATCACGGGATGCTCGTCGCAGCTCGTCTTTCGAGGGCGGGTTTTCGGGGTGATCGCCTTGGAATGCGGCCTCCGCCAGGGAGATCCGGTATCCTGCTTCCTGTACATCATTGCCGTGGATCCGCTCTTTTGGGCTTTGCAAAACTGCCCTGGCGTATGCATGCTGTTTGGATTTTGCGACGATTGGCAAGTGGAGGTCGAGCTAATCAGCGCCATCCCCAACATTCAGAATGTGTTCGATGACTTCCAGGCGGCGTCAGGGCAGGTGGTCAACGAAGCCAAGAGTGGTTTCCTTGTCACCAGGGAGGTCACTGAGGAAGAACTGACCGCCATCAAGGCCAATTGGGCGGAGTGCCGGGTGGTATCTCGCAAACGCTTGTTCGGCATCTTGATTGGCGTCGACGTCATTCCCGAAGAAGTCTGCCGCGATCTGGAAGAGCGCCTGGCGGTTCGGCTGGAGGCATACAGAGGCGCCGCCATGTCGAAGGTGGGCAAGATTTTCGCGACCAACACCTTCTGTTACCCACTGTTTTCTTACGTGTGGCGCGTGCTTTCTGTCCCAGAACAGACGAGAAGCAGAGTGGAAGACGCAGTGCGGCAGTTCGTCTTAGCAGTCCCAACGGTGAAGCTCTTGGCTCTGTCGGATGTCCAGCGGATGTTCGGCATACGCGCAGAGCTCCACGATTTCCGGCTGCGGAACGTCGTGGGCCTCATTGGCGCCGCAGTCAAGTTGGAGACTTTCGACGTGGGGTAGAGACCTCTTAGCGGAGACATCGGGCATGCTGGGGATCCAATGCGCATGTGGTGACATTACAGACGTGCTTTCTGCTTCTTCCGCAACGCCACCGGGACCACGGCGCACGCCGTTACGACGCCATCTGGCGCTGGCACGGGCGCGGCCGCCAGGGCGCTGTATCGGCGGTTGATTGCCGCGGAAGCTGACGCCGTGGAAGGGTACGTTCGTCGCCGGCTGCGGGACCGCGGCATTCGCCCGCAGTGCGCCCTGGGCAATTTGGCGCGACTCCCAAGCACGATCCCGCAACGCCACAGATGGGCGCTCTTCCAATGGCTCCTCAATGCGCTCGCTGCCCACCGCGAGACGCATGCGCTTCCGCGGAGACGTTGGCGCAAACACGTGCCTCCTATGCGGGGGAGGCGAGGACAGCATAGAGCACATGTGCGCATGCCCCGTCGTTCACGCTGCATACGAGGCGATTTGCAGTAGCACGGGCGTGATGGATGAATGGCGCGACTCATATGCTTTCTTGAGCCTGCAGCTGCACGGTGCCCAGTTGCAGTCCATCGCCGCTTTGCTTTTCGCTGTGGGCAAGGCTCGTTGGGCAATGCGCAGAGGGCGCCGTTTTGACGACGAGCGCGACCTCGTGCAGCATCTCCTGCGCCTGGTGGAGCACCCGTGGCCCAGCGGTTCGGAGGGCGCTCAGAGCAGACAAGAACGCCGAGCGCGCCGAGCGCGACGGCCGCCCGAGGACGAGCACGCGGTCACCTACAGATCCGACGGGGCTGCCCGGGGCCAAGGCCGAGCGGGCGACGGGCTCGTCAGCAGCAGCTTCGGCGCCGTTCGCCTCCGGGATGGGGCAGTGCAGGGGCGCGTCGGCAGACTCTTGCCGGCGTGCAGCAACAACGCGGCGGAGTACGAGGGCATAGTCAGCTGCTTCCGGGACGCCTTGCAACGGCCCGACGCGGCGGTCACGTTCCAGGTTGACTCCTTGCTGCTGGCACGTCAGTGCAATATGGAGTGGCGATGCCGGTCGCCGTCGCTCATCCCATATTGGGAGCAGGCTGCTGACCTGTTACGCAAGCTCCGCGATAGGGGCACGGCGTACACCATTCGTCACATCTACCGAGAATTCAACGCACTTGCTGACAGCATCGCCAATGAGGTTATCAACAACGGCCAAGACATCACGGAACATTGGCTTATGTGAGAGATACTGGGACACGCAATGATTCTTCGGATTGGTTGAAAGCCAAACGGAATTACATAGAGTACAGGAACCACCGGCCATCATTGTTATGCAGTGCGGATATTCTTGGTTACGACGGCAGGCTTAGAC